TGCACACTATTTATCTTTCACTCCAGTAATCCACACGGTATTGCACTTCCGAGTTATAAAACCTTGAATACTCTGAAACTGCAAACCAAACTGTATGTAAGCAGTATATTAAGGCAAAGGCACCGCCACCAATTCCGAGTTCATAATATTCTCGGCCTACTGAACCACATGTTAATATGCTACACGTGCTATTCTGCATATTTTTACCATGTACACTTACAGCTATGTTTCCTCCACTTTCCAATGCAATATATTTTAATACAAAATCAATGTGTGTTTTTGGTGGGCAGCAGAAAGGTTTTATCCACTCAGCTCTGAATCTAAGACGAAAGCGGTATTGATTTAGATGTTCACTCATTCATTTACTAGGACAGTTTTAAAGCATTAGGTGATAACCTAATTGACAGGCACACTGTGAGGGAAACTGAGATTGTTGTGATAAATTAAATCAGTTCTGGGATGTCATCTACAGTACTTTAATATTTGAAGTAACATTCTCCTGAAAAAATTGAACCAGGAAACAAGCATCTTGGGTGGCAGAATATGGCTTTCTATAAATGCCAGGTAATACAAGCTGACTGAAATACAAATAGATAAATAAATTGCATATTATAGAAACATTAATGCAACACACATTCTATATATGTCCGTGTATGTGCTCATATATGTATGTCTTTATCAGACTGGCTTCCATTTCCTACTGCAAAGTGACTAGGGACCAATCGAGGGTGTGAATCTTTTGCCATCTATCTGCTTCCTCTAAAAAAACTGGCATCACACAGCATCCATACTGATATTATTTATTCGTATTTACTTTACAGAAGCAAATTAAGTCACACGAGTCACCAAATAGTGTTACGACTGCTGCATACCAAATCATGCTTGCAATGCTCAGGTACATGCTTTCATGCGCGTGAGACCAGAAGGATTTGGTCTCACATCTGGGTCTCACATCTAGAGGAGCCTGTCCTGCATTCTCTCATGTCGGCACAAAGAGAACGCTGATCCATCTGCTGTGGATTTGGACAGCTGATGAATCAAACCCAAAGCCCCCCGAACTTCTCCAGATACTGCAGCCATTAGCTGCAAGCAGCTTAGATGACCCTGCCTAGTGTTCAACACACATTCTTTGCAGAGCGGGGCCAGCCAAAGAGAACACATGCAGTGCTGGATGCACCAGCAGTAATAGCATTAGCAGAATCCAGGGAAATCTGAAATTCCTTCCTAATGCAGGACGCAATCCAGTAAGGTACTGAGCACCCTCGTTTTCCACTTTTTAAAAAAAGTCACCAGAGTATGTGAAATCTCATGCTTTGAGCACGAGGTAAAGTGAAACAGTTAATAATAAGAACAAACATGCCTGTAATACAGATGATTCAGATTTAAAATTCATGAACTTACATGTAAGAAATAATTTTGCTCTGAATATTTCCTACGTTTTTTCCACTTCGTGTTCATGCAGGGTATTGTTAATAGATTCGTATTTTTCAAAGGCAGTGGCTAAATGAAGAGGCTTTTTACATTACATGTATGCTCAAACAGAAATTAAGTATAAAACTATAATACAGGATATTAAAAAAACCCCTGCATTTAAAAAGAAGAAAGGTCCTGGAGCTCTGAATTATACCTCTTACTCTTAAGAGTTAATGCATGTGGATTTTTTCCACCTCTGGAAGAGTGGCAGAAAGCCCCTGAGAAGCAAAGGGGCTGCTTGTTCACTATACTGTGTTTTGGAACTGATAGCAATTTCTGTCTGAAAGAACCATGCCTTCATATGTTAGGTTTAGGGACAAAACCTACTTATCCAGATTAAAAAGTAATTTGTATTAATGTAAAGTTTCAGCCATTAAGGCAGAGAATTCTCACCATATGCACTGATAATTTAATCTTGTTCGTAAGTAGCCTCACACTTCCAGTAAAGAAAAGGCAGGAGGTGGTGGGGAGAGAGTAAACTACAGAACCTTTAGTCCCCAAAACAGATGCCAGTTTTAGATTTATTCAGCCAAGGAGTATTTAGCTTGGCTCAGCTATGCTTGAGTTGAAAAAACACTCACCTATTCCAAAAAGTTTTTAACAAGCTTTGCTGCAGATGCTGTTGCCATTTGGCATGTCACCGTCACTGTGTGGTACAGCAGAGAGAGAACTCTTGACCACAGGTTTTCCTTGGCTGGGGGAGCCAGCATTTTTGGCTATCGCTCTTCTTCTGGCCAACTGGCTGCATGTTTACGGAGTGTGGTTTTAGACGGGGTGTTAACAGAGGTTGGGTTAACAGCCTAACCCAGACCAACAGGGAGGCGAAGGCATGACCTATCCAACTTAAGAAAACAGAGATAGAGTAAGCTTGTATATGTTGTTGCTCTTAACCAAGAATCTCTTGCATGCACCGTACCTATAGACAAGAAGATATTTTTCTTTGCCTCAGGATAGATGACAACAACTTTAAAAGCTGTACCAGTCATGCAAAGTAGAAATATATAAAAACATGTGGTTGCTTAATCTTTGTCGGCTTGATTTCATTCTCTCACTTATGACAATTTCACCTTGGCGAAATGCCACTGAAAGAAGTCCAATGAAGTTACTCCTCTTTTCCACTATGATGAGATATCTTGAGAGGACAAAAACCCTACAGAGTTAAACTGCAAACTTCTGTCCTCGTATATCCACTAGCCAGCAAATGGCAGTTCTGAAACTGAAAAAGCCTAAGTATTTCTACATTGATGAACTCGGTTCCAGGGATATTAGTGCTGAATACCTCCATGCGAGTGCATATAAAGCTGGGGAAAATTTATACGTGCCCACTTGTAGTTTAGTTTACCTACATTAATCCCATATCAGTAAATATGCCTGAGAAGCCTTGACCTTGCAAGACATATAACAATTTTAAAAAACACTATGACATTTGACTCGTATAAATAGATTATTTTTGTCCAAATTCTGACTCTTCTTTTTGATGGCAACACCTTTGTTGCACTCAAGCAAAAGAAAATAGCCCGGTTTTACGGTCTGCTTTTCTAACACTGCCATTACCCTGACACACCATGCGCCTATCCGGAAAAAACAAAGACTTTGTACGCTCCCTCCACATCTGCCACTTTTTACTTCACTCTTTATTAACTGACAATTGTCTTTAAGCAAAGTTGTGGAGCACAGACACCATCAGAGAACCAGCCAGCCCATTCGCTTAAATTCTACTAATCTGCATCAAAAATCCTGTTTAACACAGTAGGAATCAGATAGCCCAGCCTTCACTTCAGTTCCCTCTCACCGAGAGTTCAGCTAGGACTAGGAACATCTTGAAAGTTCATAGACACAAAAGCAATTTACTGCAGCGTATTAAAAAAAAGTATAACATATGACTAAGAATGAAGTAAGCAGTGTCTGGCTACATCCCCCACTGTCTGGGTAACCAGTATGCAAGAGCAATATAAGAAAAGAAATTTTTTTTTTTATTATTTTCTCTTTTTACCATTTTGGCTTCTGAATGCATTGGGGGGACTTGAGGTGAAGCACATGGATTATTGAGGTTCGGCCCCTGCATCCCCATGATGTTGGAGTTCATTGACATTTGTCGCTCCATCTTTTAAAAGAAAAAGAAAAAAGAAAGGTTTGAAAACGTCTGGAGACATTTGCAAGAATTTACGCTCAGTTTCTATTTAAATGGACTCAGCTTTATTTCTTCAAGTCATGACTGGAAAAATAACAATCTGTGTCGTGAATTGCATGCGTGTATGCACGCAGGCGTGCGTTTCATCAGAATCGGCCCTGAAAACTCACAGCCAATTATAAAGAAAAGGCTTCTTTACTAAACAAATGTAGCAGCCACCCAGGTTTGCGCTTTTTTGTAATGATTTTCTCCCTTTCAGTATAACAACACTCGGAGTTAAGTGGTTTTAAAAGCATAACTGTATAAAGTTCTGGATTCCCCTGTCAGTGCAGCCCAACTTAGCTTGTTAAAAACATAAATAAAAATCTACAATCTCGAATATATGTAAAACGAGTTGGCTCTTTTTCCCTCACTCGGACTGCTCAGCTTAGAAGAGTTTTCCATATGTCTGGTAAAGGAAGCTTTCCTGTAGTGCTGAGATAGCAAAAAACAAAGCAGAACTCCTCCTGGCTATTCAGAGCCCTTTCTGCAAGCTAATCTCAGTAGGCTGGGAGGGAGGGATACAATTTTCAAACAAAACCTAATGGCAGTAAGGACTGGATAAAATAATTTCTTGTAGCGTCTTCCCTGGAAAGAGGCAAGCCCTGTTACACCGTGAGCCACTGGCAGGGGTGATAAGTAGGGTTATGGTGCTGCTTTCAACCAGAGCTGAGCACCCTGCCTTGCTTCGGGACAGTCCCCTGAATCTTTGGCTTATAGGAGAAAGAAGCTTTTGGATCCTCCTGAGCTCTTCCAAGCAAGGGAGCTATTTTTTGTGCCCTGTGGTAAGGCAGTGACTCCCGCCTTCTATGATCCCAGCAAAAATGGGTGCTGGGCCTGGGGCAGAGGGGGATATCCCACTGCCTGCCGGTGGGGAGAAGCTGCCTCTGCCAGGGCCCCTCACCCTCTCCAAGGGACAGGTGCAGCTCCCACTGCCATCTCCTCTGCAGCCCTTTCAGGAGGGCTGTGGGGCAGGGGCTGCGGCCAGGGCAGCCAGAGCTCATAGGGTCCATCTCGCCCCCATCCTCACATCTCTGGGGCTCTCAGCCAGAGCATGCCTGCTTGTTTGCAAGCACAGCTGCCCAGAGGGCTCCCCAGCAGCAACCCGAAGCCCCTGAGCTTACACTGACGCAGGATGTTTGCTCCGTTTCAGGTTCCTTAGGAATCATGCCAGAAAAAAAATGCTCATAGTGACATGTCTTATATTTTTTTTGTTGAACTTCCTGGTCGATATTCCCAGAGAGCCTTATTGATAAGTTATTAATTAATAACTTATTAATGACTGCTCAAATAGCAGGCAAACCTGAATCTTTGTAGCCCTGTGGAATGTCCCCCTTGCTCCAGCAGGGCCAGAATGAGCAGTGCTCTCCCCCCTCCCATGGTTGATCACTCTCAGGTTGCCTTCCAAACATGGTGCAATGAAACAGAAACTCTCCTTTCCCAGTCCCCTCTTCCCTGTGCTGTCCTTACTCATCTCCACCCCTTATCTGCCCAAATGTCTTACATTGAAAGGGTTGTTAAAATCATTTAAGAATTTGAAGCTACAATTGCAAAGGTCCCTTTGTCTCCCAGAGGATGGGGAATATTCCCAGCTCTGCAGAAATGAGTGGAAGGTGAACAGCAATCATGACCAAATTCTAATTAAGTGCAAGTTACCAGGCTGGAGTTACATTTTTTTCTTGTTAGCCAATTACCTCCCACAAACAAGAGGATTACTTAGAGTTCACTGGCATAACTTATGTATATGGCTTTTCCAGTTTTGTCTGACTTGAGAAAAATCTTTTTGTTCCAGCACACACATACTGCTCTCACCTACATGACCAAGTGTGAGAACCAGAAATTGCAGTCTCATGTAAACCGTTTCTAATCATTCTCACTCTAATTAACATGCCATTAACTGCACCAGAAATACTCTTGTGTAAGATGAAGCAGAGAAAAAGGTCCAGCTTCCTTAGCACTTTGATTTTGTAGAAAATCCAGCAGACTTTCACCACTACATAGGTTGAATCAAGCGAAAAACCAACCCTCCTCCCCTCCAAAAAACCCAAACCAAAAAACTTACAGGCATGAGCACAGCAGAGGATCCAGGCATGGTGGGGTTGGGCAGGGTGCCAGGCATAGAGGCAGGCATAGGCTGTCTTTGTCGGTTGTGTAGGTGCAGTAGTGAAGACAGAGAACCTGGGACAGGCCTAGGAGAAAAGGAAAGAAAGCTGTCATGGGCTACGGAGACCAAAACAAGCCTTACCGTGCCAGCCACTGCTAGGCACAGGCAACTCTAGACAAGCAGGCGCAGATAAGCCAATCCAGGATTTGTCCTCTCCGGCATAAATCAGTAGAACAGAAAGTTTTCAAGAAACAGATGAATCACCTTCCCTCTACTATTTATTGGATAAAGCACCAGTATAGCTCATCTGAGAGAACGTGAATGTAAACGTAACAGCCAGTCTCGGTCTATGCAATGCTGCATCTTACAGTGGCCAGCAAAGGGTTTCTACAGACAAAGCAGGAAAATTTCCTGGCATGCCACATCAGTGCATCGCTGTAAATTCAGCCCTCGGGAACAGAAATATCTGGATGATAGCTTTGCAGACTATGACAGAAAATTAAACACTCTTAAATTAATTTTGAAATTTTATCACCTGTAAATAAACTACTCTAACATGAGTATTTAATCTCGCTCTTGATATTCTTTCCTGTGAAACTCTATCAAGCCTTTGTTCCAAAGCGAGGTTCCTGATTTTACCAGTTAGCATGTCACCAGGGCACAGAAAACGGAAAAAATGAAAGAAAATTAGCAAAATTACATTCAGATTAAGTAGCTTGTAAAGGCAAAAAGTATGGACTATAAAAAAGCGGAGTGACTTATTTTGGCAAAAGGAGTTCAAAAGATTTAGAAGGATTTTTCTAAGTATAGCACAGGGAAAAGAGAGCATGTGAGAAAGCAGGCCCACGCGCAACGAAGAATCATCATAAAATTAATGGATTAAACAAAGCTGTGACTACTCTTTGAAAATAGCCCTTAAGAATGTGGTCTTGGGAGTTAGTTAAATTAATCTGCCTTTTTTTTTTTTTTTTTTTTTTTTTTTTTAGTTTTGAAGAAGGTATAAGTTGCTTGAAGTTTGGGATAGATATAACTGGTTACCTTTTCATAAAGTATGAAAATAAGAAAGCTTTCACATACAGTGCCTCAAGAAACATTGCTAGTACAAGTTAGTACGTTAAATTCTCACAGAGCAGGATGCTCTGCAGTACAGTATGTGGTTTACACTGTTTATCAGGCAGGAGCCATACCCCTAAAGGTGTGAGAAGGACCAGAGAGAAGGGGGCATAGGCTGGGAGCTTGAAGAGCCTCTGCAGGGGAGGAGCATAGGAAGAGTCCAAAGACATTTGGAGCCTCTAAATATCAGGGTTGATTTTCAGCCTTGGCAGAAGCATCCTTTGCTTCAGTGGCGAATCCACAGCTAGCCATGAAAGCCCCAAAATCAGGCTGGGCTGGTCAGGGAAGCTGAGTCATAACGTCAGAGCTGCAAGGGGGAAGACAGTCGCTTCTCCCACTTGGTCTGAACTGCGTCACACCAAATGATGGGGCTTTACTTCTTGCCCCTCCAATTGTAAGTGACACTGGCAATCATGAATACATACACCCCTCCTCTAACTTTAGCTGTCGCTTCCATCTATCTAACAACACGCAAAGAGGCCAAAGGCAGTCAGCAATGGGATTCACAGACATCCTGTACGGAGGACACCACCTCCAGGCCCCGAAAGCAGAGATGCCTGTCTCATGGCAACACCAGCTTCTTCTGACCTACAAGTCTCATCCTCTTCTGCCCAGAGCTCAAACCACCTAATCCCTTCCTCCCTAAAACTCCCCAGTATTTCCCATCCTTGGACTTTCAGTCCTTCAGCCCTCCTCTCATCAAGCCCATTCCCCCCAGAAACATTTCTGTCCCAACAAATGCCACCTCAAAGTCCTTGCCCTGCCCACTCCCTCGTACCCAGACACCCCTGCTTCTCCCACCCCTCTGCCCTCAGCTGCCCTCTCTTTAGCAGCTGCACATGACTGAACCCATCCTTTTGTCTTGGTTCTACGCAGAGAGAAAAAGCCTGTGTTTTGAAGGATGTTTTAAAAATCCTCCCAGACACATACAGTACTTATTCAGAAGGGGAAAAAAAAAACCAAAACAACAAGAAATGTATCTCAGATACAGACAATAAGCTCTTCCTATGCCTCCCTGGTTATCTGCTGGTGAAGGAATATGATGTACTTTACAACTTCATACCCCCTGTCCTGGTTTCGGCTGGGATAGAGTTAATTTTCTTCTTAGTAGCTGATATAGTGCTGTGTTTTGGATTTAGTATGAGAATAATGTTGATAACACACTGATGTTTTAGTTGTTGCTAAGTAGTGCTTACACTAGTCAAGGACTTCTCAGCTTCCCATGCTCTGCATGGCGTACAAGAAGCTGGGAGGGGGCACAGCCAGGGGGCCTGACCCACATTGGCCACAGGGCTATTCCACACCATATGACGTCATGCTCAGTATATAACTGTATCATTATTTATTATTATTTTCTCTTCCTCTGCTGTCCTATTAAACTGTCTTTATCTCAACCCATGGGTTTTACTTTTTTTTTCCCCAATTCTCTCCCCCATCCTACTGGGGGGGAGGGTGAGCGAGTGGCTGTGTGGTGCTTAGTTGCCAACTGGGGTTAAACCACAACACCCCCCCCCAAAGAAACTCAAAGACAATGTCTCGCAAATATGTGGTGTAACCCTGTGAGAGTGTGAAAGAAGCACTGTGAGAGAGCATGAATCAACTTCTGGGATAGAGGACTCTACGGTCAGCTCAGCACAAGGCTAAGCCTGGGGAGCTGTGAAGGTGGTGTAAGTGGAATGGATGTAGCAAAGGAAAAATGAGGTCAGAAAATACAGTTAAAGTACAGAGCCCCTCACCCATCCTACTCTCCACTTAAAACACAGCTGCTCCATGTACCAGCACTCATTCACACAAGAGGACTGATGAATCATTAGGACAGGGTCAAAATAGCACAAAAAGCAGGTTCAGTGATCCTTTGAAAAGAAAAAAGTGAGGAGATACCAGGCTGAATGTGAGGAGGAGAACAATCTCGGTTTGGTTTCCAGAGGCTGTGGTGACCCCCACAAGCAGAGCCTACTTCCCACCGGCCTACCCTCACCACAGCTGCAGCCCTGCAGAGCAGCAGACAACAAGCTCAAACAGGTCTTCATTCTCTCGTACTTTAAAGTCCGTGCAACAGCTGCCAGACAGAAGGGCTGAGACCCCCGCGCTGGGGGGCCGAGGAGCAGAACGGAGTGTGCTGCAGCCCCGGCCGGGGACGCACCCTGGGTTTCCTCCCACGACAGCGAGCGGGGAGGAGAGGGCAGGAGAGGAGAAAGCGCTGGTGCGCTCTCATGCCTGTAATGGGACGAGGCTGAGGTGTGCACCCACCCACCCGTCGGAGCTCTGGAACCCTTTGGGTCCACCGGCTTAGACACAGCCTACGGGAACTGCGCTGGCTAACAGGAGCAATGCATTCAATAAAAATATCACTTGAGTTTTCAGTGGGACCAAAGTAAAACAAGTACCATGACAACAGCCCTCCCCGCCCCCTTTATTCATTCTGAGACTGTCCCACATACAGACCCTTTGTACAACTCACCAGTTTCATAATAAGCTTAGGTGTTAGGCTGTTTGACAGAAACTTACTTTGGCCTGACCTATGCAATTTGTGCAAGTGATTCTCAAGGGACTGCATGGTTTGAGTTTTGCTTATATGTTCCAGAGCCAAAAAAATTTCCAAAATTGCTTTAATGAGTTTGGGAATATGGGACTTGGGCAAAAGGGAATTATTGGTATTTATTAAAATGGCAAAGAAGCTTCCTTGCTGTCCCCAGTTTCACCTTTAATGCTGCTTTGCTTTGGGGATCTGCATATGCTATACACTTAGCTAGAGGAAAAAAAATCCTCAGTACTTCAGGTATTTTTTCCTGCTACAGCCCTGCTAGTCTGTTCCCAAGTGCATTTTTGCAAAGAGGTGCAGAGCAGTCACAGAAACCTTGTGCTTCAAGGTTGACCCTCTTTATCAAAACGTCTGCACCGCTTCTGCCACCAATGAAAGTGCCACATAATGCACACCAGATTCCACTCCCCATCGGGGAAGCTGACATTGGCCAGTACCCGTGGATACTTCTATTGCTTCCACATTGAATACAGGTCATCGATTAGCACGTGCTCGTGCGCACTCACTTGCACAGAGCTCAGGGGACGTGTACGGCACGGAACTGTACAGGCTGAGATACTCATTTTGTCTAAGGCATTTCTTCTCCTTCCAAGGACAATACAATCTCTTTTGTTGTTGCTTTTTATCCTGCAGCAAAGAAAGTTAGTGAGAGTTTACAATTGTTATTTTTAACGTTGGACATGTCAACTCTACTCCTCTCTTTGTAAATGCTGAGATGCTGCCGGCAGCCTGTCAGTCAATATTGCTGACTGAGGGATTTTAATTCCTTGGCACCTGTGTTGCTAAATAAATAGGGTTGTTGGGCAAACAGCCCACAAATAAAGGACAGATAAGATAGAGAACTGGCAAGTGCTCAACCTCACTGAAAATCTGGCTATCCATGGGGTCTTTCCCAAGTTTAAGAATTTTCATGATATTCCAGCAGGAGCCTGCTGTTGGACACGAGGGGGTCTCAGTCAGCATTTGTACACTATTTCTTTGGGTGTACGCAGCCTGGATGGATAGCGTTACGGTGGCTTAGTAAAATACCACGTGTTAGCCAAGCTGCTGTAACTGACCACGTTGGCTCCCCTCCCTCTGCACGGTCGTGCTAACACCGTGAGTCATCCTTACTAACATTTAAACAGATGGGCGGTACCCCGCTAAGCCATGGTGACTCGATCATGTTCCATCATATGACTCTACTCCATGATTAAAGATAACTCCACTAATGTAATCAAATATCTATGATATATACTTCGCTATGTGCCTTCTTGATTAATACCAAATATTGTGTCTGCTATGATGCAACACCTATCTGACCCAGTTTTCTAGACTGTCTGATGACTAAACACTACATTCATCTATTAAAAGACTAGGCTTCCCTTAACTTGTAGTCTTCAGGGACAGTTTCTGTAGATGACAATTTGCTGCTGAGGTCTCATGAGATT